TAGAAAAATATCGTGCTGGGTATAATCCATATAATTCATTATACTGTTTACGGTTTATAGAACCATAAACAATGAAACAAAGAGATATATCGCTGGAAATAGGCAAAATTGGAAAATTTGGAAAATTGTAAGACGTTTGCTCTACAAAGGATAAATATATAGAGAATAAAATCAAATGTTAAAAGATTTTGCCTTTACAGTTTTAAAGTAAAACCAATACCAGGCGTTGATTGGGAAGGTGTAATATGACGGAATTGGGTTTTTGAGCGGTTGTCATGTCGAATCTATTAATTATAAATAATATCTATTTGTGTTATAAGTGAATGTAGGTTTTAAATTAAATTAATTAAATCCTGAATGTTTCCACTGTGTACTGTCATATCAATGTGTGCAACTATTTTATGACAAATCCATCATCAATCCTCAAAATTATTTTTGCTAAGTAATTTGAAATGAGTGTTGTTTATTATAAAATAAACATTTTCATGTGTCGATCTTATGTATCTGCAAATTATCTTCAAGTCGTTAATAGTTTTTCAACACATTTGACAAATTTCCAACAAAATTGTTTTACGACCGCATTTTCAAAAGTGATTCCAAAAACTTAATTTTACAATTTTAAATGAATTGAAATAACTTCTAATTGAGGAAAATAAAATAAAATAAAAATTAAAATAATGATATAAACAAATTACTTTTAAAAATTTGTTTATAAAATGTTTTAATATTACTATTAATAATCAGGAAATGTGGAATCTATATAAAAGGGAATATGGATTCTTTGGACCGATGTGAGGTTCTCAAAATCATTATTTCAAGTATAAAGAATTAAAGCATATTGTTCTGTTCAGTCAATACCATATATACTTCAATACATCTTAAAGGACGAAGTGATTGTGGGTAAATATCATTTTTATTATTAATTAATTTGTTTTATAAAAACAGGTTGACTTAAGGGCATTGTATCTATATAAATTATTTCTACTATTATATATTCATATAAATATATGTATATAATGTATAAAAGTTTAAGTGCAAAATACTAATTACAACAACTGTGAGTGAAAGCCATTAATAAGAATTATTGTATATTTAGAAAAATATAATAAATGTTCCAATATTATAAATAAATTTATTTTGTTGAAAAACTTTCAGTTTCTGCGACCAAAAAATTAAATTTATTTTTGTTTCTGAATACAAAATGTGAAAATATTTATATAAATGTTATGGATTATAAAAATCTTTACTTTCAAAAATTGCTTTGGCACTCGACTTATATTAAATATTTTTATTCGCTGTTGTGTATTTTTTATTTTTAAAAATAAAACTAAATTGCATATTTGCACATAAAAATAGTATAAAAATTTTCATACTAAAGCAGTATTTAACTGAGTCTATTTCAGTATGAATTTTTGACTGTTTCGAGTATTACCAAATACTCATCATTAGTGGTCTTGGAATTGTTTCTTATATATAATTGTTCGTAAATAAATTTTTGAGACTACAAGTACGAAGGGTTAAACTCGTACCCTGCCAAATTCGACGCTCAGAGTCAGCATCAAGTCAGAATCAACTGACCCAAAGCCGGCAGGTCAGTCAAAAAGAAAATATTAAACATATTAAACAGTCAAAAAGAAAATATTAAACATTTTGTTGTTGCTATTTTCTCTATTATTATATACTTCTCTATTAAATCCAATAGTTTCTATTTAGTAAAATAGTCACTGTCGTCACAATGGGTGTTAAATTATAATTTATTAAATTTTTTTTTAATAAAATTTATTTTAAACTGAAAGTCGTCGATAAATATCCCCAAATATGCTGATGAAATAGTTAATAAAATAAATGTGATTAATAAAATCTATGACATCATTTGTGAAAAGATTAATTGAATCTGTTCACATTTATAATCACATCTAGAGCAGGAAACTCATTAATTTGGGTATAACCAAAATCGGTAGTTTGTGTCCTTTGTAAACAGATATTATTTTATAAGCAGGCATGCATTGGAACAAGAAGTTCTCTCTTTGCTACCTATATTAAGACACGCACAAAGAATAATCAAGGTATTAGTTTTTGCGGCGATTTTCAGCTGTATTGTCTGTTTTTCGAGAATCTGGAATGACTATTAGAAATTCATGTCGACAATCTCAGAAAAGAAAAAAAATGGGTTTAGCTATCATAAACACAAACATTATTAAGTATCATATCAGCACTTACTATATAGTTGTAATACTTAT